CTGCAAACACAAGTTGCTCCTGCTCTCAAGCCCTGGAAGTGTAGGGACTGGCTCCTCTGCCTCCACCCAGCAGCCCTGTCCACGCCCCTGTGACTGTTCAGCCCTCTGAATACAAGGAATGACGCCTTTGACTCAGGACAGGTAGACAACAGCAATGAGAAACGGGGTCACAGCCACGCAAAGGCTGAAATCATCTGGAAGTAAAAGGCGAGTCCACAAAGGACTGGGCTGGCCCTAGGAGCCAGCTGGGTCCTCCTCTGGGAACCCCCACATCTGGCAGCTAAGGGGCTTTCCTGTCACTCATAGATCTTCCTCACGTTGGATGACTATTCCTAAGGAGGACTGGACATTTATAAAGTGCAGCCTCTGCCTGCTACCCCGGGTAGTCCTGGACGTCCTGGATTAATCCAATCTCCTGGCCGCCAATGGCAAACAAGAGAAGGCAATCTCACCCCTCACGGCTCTGCAAATTACACCGAGAAAATCACCGATATACATTCTTGAAAAGGGCTCAGCAGAGATTTGTTAAGTAAGGTATTCAATTTTCTGTTAAGTCTGTCTGTCTGAGGTACAACCTGAGCACATTCATGCATTCCTTGGGAGGGGAGAGGAATTAGAGGAGGAAGTAATGTTCAGTTATTCTTTGTTTGTGCCGTGTAGGAAAGCAGAAGGCTGCTCACGGAGCCTAGAATTTCTGAAAGCACACTTAGGATGCGACACCCCACTTCTAGGCTACTTCACGTTCCAATCTGCTCTTACAAATCAGCATCTGACCACAATGCCACAGATCCCCTCAAAGGGAAGTCCCATGAGTCTCAGGGAGTGTCAGTGGCTCAAGGAGGTTTTAACTCCCGACTTCCGTGAGCCGTGTATCCTGGAATTCCGGGACGCCACCCCCTGTGCAATACTTAAATGACCCTGGTGCATCTGCCTTCCCTCCAGTTGGATTAGCAGCTCCCTGCAGAGGACAGCTTCAGGCAAAGGGGTGCGCAAAGCCACTGCTGCTGCCTGGCGCAGGTGCCCTGCTTCTTCCAGAGGCCTCCCAGGCCCCTCTGCCTCTGTTCCCTTCTTGTTCTGTGGCGTGGCTCACTAAGGAAATACATCAGGGGCTCTTCTTTCTCCACTAGAGCTGACTAAATGCCCAACAGTTCCTTGCTGCGATACACGTCCCAAAGGTATCTCAGTGTGATTCAGTCGGCCATTTAGTCCTTCACTTACAGATTCACGCCATTGAGACGGGGGTCTAATAACACTTATGTCACTGTAACACACAGCCTACCAGTGCGTTCTTAACAACAAATAGCATTAAAAAAACTGAGTGTGTGGCTGTCGCTCTTTAATAGCAACCTGAGGGATTTTCTAAGCATTACCTTGCTATATTTATAGCTTGAATTCTGCGTTTATTTAAAAACTCCTCTCATTTGTTGCAGCAGCATCCTTCCTTAACTTACACATTTTGGTACTAATAAAGCTGCTTTGTGGTGGCTTTCATTTCTTAGCTCTCCAGAGCTCTTGCAAACATTGTTTCATCTCTCTCCTCACTGCCAGCAGGAAAGTTTATTATGCATATTTTACAGCCATGAAAGCAAAGGTACGGGGAGGTGAAATGACTTCCCTCAGGGTCACGGAGATAATGAATAGCAGAAGGGGAGCCAGAAGCATCAAAGCATCATCGTTGACTCCCCAGCCCACATGCGCCCACGGTCTCACCGGGTGCCAGCGTGCCAGCGCTGTCCCAGACTGGGACCAGGATATGCACCGCCGCTGGCTGGGAGCTCGCCAGCAACAGAGACATATGGGAGGACTCCATACTTTTAAATTAAAGAAATTCAATTTTCACCTAATAATTTGGTGGGAATGTTGGAAAATAAACACCATCACATTCTAGCACAGTGGAGGAGAAAGTTTACATTAGCTTTAGGGGTATACATAGAAGAGCATGTGGAAGTACAGGACGGTGGCCCTTGCTTCTGAACGTCTCTGCTGGAAATCTGCCTGAAGGCACTGGAAGTCACTATGGCAACACTGGTGTGCAGAACTGCACAACGAACAGCTATTTCCGAAAGCAAAAGGACGTGTGAGGGGATGGGTGGGGTGGGAAGCAGAAGACTCGAGCAGAATCAGTGAAAACAGGTCCTGCCCAGAAGCTGAGATGTAGAGCAAGGGAACTGGGCAGCATCGCCCAGCATCTCCCATGTTGGGAGTGTCTGCTTGGGCACAACGTTGTGTAAACTGGGACATATCCTGCCACTCATCCACACTCCAACTTCATCATTTTTAAGAAAGGACATGACTAAAGACACAGAACATCCAACATGATGCTAAGCAAAAACAAAACCAACCAACCAACCAAACAAAAAAGCAAAACCTCAAGCTAGAGGTCTCACAATACCTGATTTCAAAGCATACTGCAAAACTATACTAATTAAAACAGTAAGGCACCAGCATAAATATCAGCTCATAGATCAGTGGAAGAGAATAGAGAGCACAGAAATTAATCCTTGTGCATACAGTTACTGATTTTTGACAAGAGTGCCCAGAAAGTAAATGGTGCTGGCAAAACAAAACAGGATGCAAGCACACAAAACAATAAAATTAGATTCCTACCTCTCACCACACACAAAAGTCAACTTAAGAGGCATCAAACACCTAATTTTAAGAAGTAAAAATATGAAACTGTAGGAAGGAACCATAGGGAAAATGCTCCAAAATATTGGTGTAGGTGACAACTTCTTTGATGAGTCCCCCAAAGCACAGACCAACAACAGCAAGACTAAACAAACAGTATCATACCAAACTCAGAACTTCTGCACAGGAAACAATCAACAGAGTGAAGAGACGCCTGACAGAATGGAAGACAGTATTTCTGGGCTACATATTGAACAAAGGATTAATATCCAGAATGTATCAGTTCCTCAATAAACTCAGCAATTAAAAAAAAGCAATCCAGTTAAGAAATGGGCAAAGAACCTGAATAGGTGATTCTCAAAAAATATATGAAAAATGCTCCATATCACTAGCCATTAGGAAAATGCAAATCAAATCCACAATGAGGAATAATTTCACCCCTGTCAGAATGCTAAAATCCAAAACAGCAACAAATGCTTGAAAGGATATGGAGCAAGGGAAATTCATATGCACTGCTTGTGGAATCTAAATTAATGCGGTCACTGTGGAAAACAGCATGGAGATTTCTTTAAAACAATAACCAAAAACTAGAATAGACCTGTCACATGATCCAGCAATCCCACTGAGTATACATTCAAAATACATAAACTTATTGTACCAAAGAAATACCTACACCACCCTGTTTATAGCAGTACTATTCATAATAGCTAACACATGGACTTAACCAAGGTGTGTATCAGATGAATCGACAAAGTAAATGTGATGTGTATTATATATATATATTATATACTACATATGATATGTATAATATACACACATATAATACACACATACATGTCCATATACAAGAGAATATTATTCACCTATTAAAAGTAATTAAATTCTATCATTTGCAGAAAAATGAATGGAACTGGAGGACACCATGTTGAGTGAAGTAAGCGGACTCGGGAAGATACATCCTGCATGTTCTCCATCATACACAGGAGGTAAAATTAAAAATACCTGTGTATATCAGTTTTATGCAAACCAGTGTTTGGTAAAACTTTGTTTTAAATATTTGTCAAACAAATTGATAGATATATATTACTGTGGTATTGATGATTTTGTGACTGTTTTAAAATTTGCTTCATGTGAGCAAAGTTGGACATCTTTTCACTCGATCATTGTTTATAGCCCTTGCCTGTTTTCTTCCTGGACTATGGTATCTTACTTTTTGTTTGTCTAACTCTTTGTCTGGTAGTGCCACTAAGCCTTTGATGAGACTGTATGTTAAGAATACAACAAAATTAAGATTACTTTAAAAACAATAAAATAAACAATGACTAGGCAAACAAGAGCTAGTAAAAGTTGACGTGGCTGTTAGTAGTAATATTACTGTAATTATTATCCTGACTTACGAGCCAATAGCATGATTTTAATTAGTATTTGTAGCAGCCTTAACAGGCGAGTAATAGAAGGGAAAGAAGTGGATGTTCATGTGTACAGACGTCTGAGATTTGGTGAATTAGAGACGGACATCCCCCATGTGGTCTCAGCGCTGGTCCGCTGGGTACAGAGAGCACACCTAGTACAGCTGTATTTTAAAACGTGAATTATCTCATGGCTAATCCATGAATAAGGGGATGATAAAGGTGTATGGATAGTGTTTTTATTCCATTTTTTGTTTGCACAATAGTGATGCAATGACGTTATCCAGGGAAGTGCTCTCTCGAATAGACAGGCAGACACCCGCAGGACGCCTTGCTTCAGTGAAGATGTCTCAGGGTCGGGCTGTCAGGGCTCCTGCACAGGGCTTGTGATGGACTGAGAAGATGTTTCCTGTGTGCCCTGAACACTGACTGAGGAGGAAGGACGTCTGGACCTCCCAGGGAGGAGCAGAAGCAGATCCAGCAGGAGGGGCTGCAGGGTCGACTGCGACCCCGGAGCTGATCCAGGTGGCCTCAGCTGGGGCTGCACACGGTGTGAGTCACCCCTACTCCATCCCTGCCCTCGCTGTTACCGAGGCTCTGCAACGTTGCAGACTGGAATGCAATAACAGTGAAGTGGAAACAGGGGCTGCAGGGGACTCCCTGACCGGAGACACGCAGCGTGTCCCCTTTCTATCTTCTGTGATTTCTGCTTTCTTTGTGTCACCAACAAACAGGTTTTTGCTTGGTTTTGTTTTTTTAAGATTTGGGAAAACAACTTTCACACATGAAATAGTAACCTAAATAATTTCTCAAGTAGAATTAGAGCGGAAGCCACCAGTTTAGCCTTGTGTGGCACTTATGAAATACTGGAGGTGGACGTGCCAGGCGGCGGCTGACCCTCAGCTGTCCCTGGTGCTTGCCCGTGGAGCTCGCTTGGAGAGAGGGGAGAAAGGTCATACTCACACATACAAGACGGATCTGGTGTCTCCCACTTTCCCACCGTCCCCTACTGTCAGCGTGTCATACCCTCTTTCCAGCTCAAACTCTTCAAAAGCGAGCTTGATGACCTGAATCCAAGGAAAAAAAAAAAAAAAAAAAGGAAAAGAAAGAAAGGTTACTTAGCACAGGAAGAATTTTCCATGTTTATTATTGTAAGCTTACAGTTGCAGTGCTACATTTTGCTTTTTATTTTCAATGTATTTCAAATTAGGCTCGAGCTGATTTTAAGCAGTTATATGCACAATTATACACCACTGAGAGACTTCAATTATAGACTTTTATGAAATTCAAAATTGCATTACTCCATGATATTATCATCTTCAAAAATGGATTCACCCTTACTATACTTTAAGTCATATATCTATTATATTTTTATTTTAGCATTCGGAGTACTTGGATTAATTGAAAGATAACTCAATAAGTGAAATAAATATTGATTACAGTTAATAAGACATATTCTGAGGGTAGCCACAGAACCTTCAATAAATGTTTTAAATTGTATATACTAATTTCAAGTAATTATCCACAGTAACATGATGGAAAAAATCTCTGTGGCTAGAAAGGTGCCATATATGATTAGCTTTGCAAAGCTTTGAATGTTGAGCTGTGTGTGTGTGATAAACAACACTTGATCTGAATGATCAACTTCATGACTTACGGGTGAGATCTTATGTTTGATGCACCAATATGTCAAAGCTCTTTAAATTATTTTATATAGAGCAATGTTACGTTCCTGTAGTGACCAATTTTGTGATCAACTGGCCAAGGGAACAAAGATACCTTGAAGTTAGGCTACAACCCTGGGTAACAAATGGAACAAGCTAAAGGTATAGAAAGATAGATGGATAGACAGATGATGGATGGGTGGGTGGGTAGATGGATGAATGCAGGCAGGGAGGAGGGAAGAGGGAGGGAGAGAAGGAGGAGAGAGACTGATTTAGAGAGAAAGAGAGTTAAAGAACAGGAAGAACAAAAACCATAATATGACGTATATTTTAATGGGAGATATTTCAGAGTAAACCTGGCACTCTAGAGCCTTTCAGAAAGATGTCAAATACCTGTTTGCTAAACTTGATGGAGAAGAGTAAGTACGCCAGGGGAAGGCAGGCCTCCTGCTGTACCCAATTTAATGTGTGAAGGCTGAAGTGACTCTATAAAGAGGTGATTTCTTAAGCAATGCTAATAAGAAAGAAATTAAATTTGCAACTTGAAATTCTAGCTTAAGTTAGTGACACAACCATTATTAATTTATTAAAAAAAGACTACTATTTCAAATTGCAGTGTTTGTCTGAATCCATGAATTTGGCAATCTGATTTGAAGCAGGTGCAGGGATTGATAGCTACTGCAAGCCAGTATCAACACTGCATATGAAACTTAGCACCTGATGGTAGTTTCTGTCTATTTTTCCCTCCCCTGGCTCTATTCATGTGGTCCAAAAGTTAACCGTGGCCCAAAAGTTAGAGAATGAAAGAACTACAGTGACACTGCTGACATCTGGTGGTTTCCTATCTCTCTTTTCCTGACACATTTGCTGAGTCTTAACTTGTTTTAGTCTCCAGAGTGAAGCAATGATAATCCATTAATGTCTGAGGGTCACGGACAGCTGGTTTGTAATGAGTTCCAGACAAGGGTCACCCAACATAAATGGATTTTCACTGTGGGTATGGGATGGCCATTGTGTCCTTCTCCACTGAGGCAAAGGGTGTCTGAGAAAGCCTTTGTCAACATTTCATGCCAACAGTCTACATGGCCGCCATGCTACAGAAATCTTAATAATCTCCACACTCAGTGAAAAAGAAAACGTAGATTCACATGGGTCCAGACAGTCTCCAGTTGGTCAGAATGCATGCCATTCTACAAATATTTGTGTCTGTAAAATACAAATATGTGGGTTTTTCTTTTTTTTTCTTTTTTTTTTTTTTTTTTGACAGGCAGAGTGGACAGTGAGAGAGAGAGACAGACAGAAAGGTTTTCCTTTGCCGTTGGTTCACCCTCCAATGGCCGCCACGGCCGGCACGCTACGGCTGGCGCACTGCGCTGATCCGATGGCAGGAGCCAGGTACTTATCCTGGTCTCCCATGGGGTGCAGGGCCCAAGCACTTGGGCCATCCTCCACTGCACTCCCTGGCCACAGCAGAGAGCTGGCCTGGAAGAGGGGCAACCGGGACAGAATCCGGCACCCCGACCGGGACTAGAACCCGATGTGCTGGCGCCACAAGGCAGAGGATTAGCCTAGTGAGCCCCGGCACTGCCCCAAATATGTGAATTTTTAATATTAAACTTGCATCCTCTTTTAAACAGGAGACAGCCAGTGAGGCAAATGAGCAATGAAGGCTGAAAGGGTAACTCATGTTTTACTTTTTTTTAAGATTTACTTTACTTATTTGAAAAAGTTGGGGAGAGAGAGAGAGAGAAAGAGAGAGAGAGAGAGGAGAGGGAGGGAGGGAGGGAGAAAGGGAGGGAGGGAGGGAAGGGTGCGGGGAGGGATGGAGAGGGGAAGAGACAGAGAACTAGATCTTTGATCCACTGGTTCACTCCATAAATGGCTGCAATGACCGGGGCTGGGCCAGGCTGAAGCCAGAGACAGAAGCTTCTTCTGGATCTCCCATGTGGATGCAACATCTGAACTCCTGTCCCTTGTGTAGTTTCTTTCAAGAGTGTGAACTCTGCTGGGCAGAGGCTATTCATTGAGAGCAATGTTTGCAGTGATTTTTGAAAATGACAAAGCTAGTTTGGAGACTGAAAAACAGGAAAGGTGTCCTCTCACTCATGTCATGTGGCGTGTGTGCCTCCACCCTCGTTCACGTCATGTGGCGTGTGTGCCTCCACCCTCGTTCACGTCATGTGGCGTGTGTGCCTCCACCCTCGTTCATGTCATGTGGTGTATGTGCCTCCACTCACGGTTGCCTCACAGGCAAGAGGGATGGTCACCACCAGGACATGATCTCAGCAGTACGTTAACTCAGTCTCTCAGGGGTCAAACTACTCTTTTGGGTCCAGATTCTAGAATACGGCAAGTTGAACCACGTGAAATGTGCACTTTTTAAAGATTAAAATGTATAAATGTAGGCACTTTCCTATGGTTCAACCCCGTACGTTGGCAAATGATTGCTTTGGTGGGGTAAGGATACTCTGCGCCCTGAACAAACCACCTTGGCTCCAGAGGACTCAGCTAACGCAGGGAGTAATCTGTGCTCAGGAGCACACTTGACCATCGGTGAACCGCTGGAGCATGAGAACGGCACATGCGGGTGTGGACGGGTGCAGTGCTTTGCCCAGTGGCTCCTTCATGCTCTCGGCACCCCTCCCGGCCCTGCAGGTCTCTCACGGCTGCTGCAGGCGGCTGCTCCAGTGCTCCAGTTCCTGCTCAACACCCCTCCCTGTCATGACCCCCGTGTCCACTCGGCTCTGTCAGCCTCTTGCCCAGTGCCCTCAGGGCCTCTTCATCTCTCAGCCCCTCTGGACGTGCTCGTCCTGCCTGCTCACATGGTTCTGGGGGTACCCACGGGCAGCACCAGGGCTGTACCACGCAGGGCAGGCAGCAAGTGGCCCACCCGTAGGCCCCCAGGCCACACGTGAAAGCCAAATCAAGCTGCGCAGAATCCGAGACATAACAAACTTAGAGCCCCAGGCGTTTATTTTGATGAATACAAAACACTCATAGAATTTATTATTGACATCAAGATTTCTAAATGGTGATGTATAAAACTGTTCTCTTTTTCCACCTCTAAACAGAACCTCAGATCTGTGAGCAAGAGGCTGCTCAAGTTAGATAGATTGTGGTCGACTTTGAAAGTATATTCTTGTTGTTGTCATTTCTCAAAGTCTCAGTGTTAGAGGAAAGGCCTACCTCCAGCAGCCCTTGAGATGGCCCACAGAATCAAACGCCCTGGGGCCCCATGAGAAAGGCGATCATTCACACACGTGGGCATGCTTATCCTCCAGATGCCTGCAGAAGCATCCAGAAGACTCATGCTTCAACCTTTTTGAGGAGAAACATCCCGAGACGCCACCAGATACAATATGTCCCCAGCCTGAGCCCATTCTAAAATGTTTACCTTCTGAGAATACCTTGCAAAAGATAAGAGCAAATTTTCCACTTGGTTCCTTCCTCTCTCTCCTTCCCTTTCCTTCTATCCATTCACTCCTTATTCATTTACGCATTTCTATGCAATGCAAGTTGACCTTCTGACCCTTTCATATAGGTGGGACACTGTGCACACACTTTCATTTTCAAGTACATAATGACCAACACTCAGATTTCTGGTGTTCTTATTCACGAAGGCTCTAGGGAAAAGAGCAAGCTACTAATCCAATTGTCCTTAAATGCTGAGTTTTCTCAGTGGGAAACCCGTGACAACACTAAGCGGAGCCATCTGGATTGTGTAGCAGGTGCTACTATAATTGCAATAAGGACTGGAAATCATGATGGGAAGGTGTGGGACATATCCCAGTTCCATCCCTGATGTCCAGTGTTTCTCTTCCCAAAGCCAAGCTGGAATCAGCAGAGCCTCTTAGCAGGACACAACCACCGTTCACCCTGAGTCTGCCTTCCTGTGTGCACCTGCAGCCTTCCTGCACTCTAGAAATGGAATTGTAGGCCTTTCTGTAAAAGGCATTTGGTGAATGGAGAGTAGGTTAATGATGTGAGCTATGCAGCACTCAAATGAGTATTCTCTCAGTGTTCTTTCACTTGGCTAATAGGAGTTGCAAGAAAAGACTTGCGAAAGTGCTATATCCAAACACAAGAAGATTGTGTATTTTTTCATACAAGGGATAATAGATGGAATATAATAGAATATAACAATAAATAACATTTTAAAGATTTATTCACTTATTTAAAAAGTCAGAGTTACAGAGAGAGGGTACACAGAGAAACACAGAGAGATCTGCCATCTGATGGTTCACTCCCCAGATGGCTAGAACATCCAGGGCTGGGCCAGGCTGATGTCAAGAGTTAGGAACTTCATCCAATCTCCCACATGGCTGGCATGGGCCCAAATGCTTGGGCCGTCTTCTGCTGCTTTTTCCTGACCATTAATAGGGAACTGGACTGGATGTGGAGCA